ATTTTCAGTGAAAAAACAAGTGAACAACATATGATTCAAGGGATAAATGCAATGGTCCAGCGATCTTTAAAAAACCTTCATCCATTATTCATTTCTTCCTTATAGTACTTAATTCTGAAATCGTTTATTGAATAAATGAACTACTCTCGCCTGAACTCCAGAACCAGAAGAAACACAAACTATGCTCTGAATGAATGCATGATTACATTCGTTTTATACATGCTTTAATGGCACAATTAGTCTAAGATCCGAACCTAAATCGACCTTCACCGAGCTGATAATAGAACGAAATATATTTTATCATGAATTTAGTATATTAGAAAACATATTAAAAATGGGTTGACTAAAAAAATCCTGGGCAGACTATTTTTAATTATTTTTCGAAAAATTATTTTCAATTAAATGTTGCAACATCAGGATAATAAAAAAATTGTGTCCTGACTGAAAGTATAAAACGTATAGAATGTGCAGCCGTTGGGTTGTCTACTATTTACCTGGGCGAACTACTGGGTTGTCAGGTAAACACAGGTATATCGATGCCAGTTACTTTCACTGGATTGGATAATTTAAAAAAATTTATATCATCATAAGCGCTGTTTAATTGCGAACACGTTGATATAGGGTTGTCTGCGAAAATTCTGAACCTATTAGGGGTTTGCGAATTTTAAAGATTTTAATTTCAACGCGCGTGGAAGTGTGTGACAGAGAGATCCGAGGTAAGTATACTGTTGTAATAAATGGTAATAATAAAGGACCCAACATCGCAGTCGCTTGTGATGGGACCCTGAATAGTAGAAAGTGTGCGAAGTGTGCGAAGTCAAATCCTGAAAACTATGGTTGGCATTTTGATGATTTGTTAAAACCAACAGGTTTTATCGGAGATCAAACTCCTTTGAAAATCCAGGACATTGTCGAAATGGAAGCAAATGAGGAGGAATCTAATGAATCAGACGAATTCGAGAGTCAAAATTATACTTCTGATGAATCAGATATTGAATAGAAAATATTTATTAGAATTAATTTTTCATTAATATTATTCATTATTATTATTAATATTATTTTTGTATTTATACTGTATTTTAATAAAATTTTAAATCGTAATACAAGATGTCTAGTCTATCTTTTTTGTTATTTCTTAATTTAAATTTTTGGCGGTCCACTTTGTTTCTATTTCCAGAAAGAGCAACAAAATTTCAAAGTAAGTATTTGATATTTTTATTGTCTATTATAGATTATAGATATACACAGTAAAAAAAATAGAGTGAAATTCAACACTATACCTGTTCCCAGGAAGACCACTAAGCTTTAGAGTGAATGATTTAACTCTATTGTTTAGTATATTATAGTGTGATTTTTTCAATTCAATTAGTGTAAATTTTCAATGCAAGCACATTGAAACTTACTCTATTTATTTCTCTAAATATATTGAATAAACACAAAAATAGAGTTGAAAGAAACAATTACGAGAGTGAATATTCCACTCAAGACCCAAGCTAGTGTCAATATCATCACCTAGAGTGAAATTCAATAACCGAATATTACATAGTCACAAAAGTTTAGAGTTGAAATACAATAGTAGAGAGTAGATTCCACACTATGAACAGTGTCGGATCCACCGGAAATTGATTGAATTATTTACTCTACGTGGATGTCAAATTGCTCCTGCATTGTTCAAATTAACACTACTATTAGTTCAGGTGCTAATAAGGAGTTATCATTTATTCATCATTTTAGATTTATATAGTACACTAGTTGAGTAAACTAGTCACTACTTCCTGTTGAGATTTCATCCAAGTTGAATTAACCATTCTTACACATGTCACAGTATTTATAGGCCCCCGACAGACGTTCAGCGGCGAAGTCTCCGCAGCGCCACCTTTATGCAGTGGCGAGAATTGACGGATGAGAAGTAGTGTGACTTTATAATATTTTAATCGTTTGATATTTGAAAAATGACTCGACGTTCATAACTCAATGTTGAAAAAAATTTCTCACTACGCGGGTATAGTAAAAAAACTACTTGAAGCTAATATCATGATCATTATATCTTCGACACTATAATCTGTATTCTGTATTACTTATTTCACTATCTAGTAGACTGAACGATCTGAAACTGTATAGATTGATATTTCATCGTATATAGATTGAATTGAACAATGATGAGAGTGTCAATTCAATCGACAACAGAGGAATATTCAAGTTCACTAGTGTCAGTAAACACTAGTATTAATTCAATTTCAATTGTTTGTGAATTGAGTTATCTGAATTGATATTTTATTGAAATTTCAGGAATATAGAGTGAATTCAATACGAGAATAGTGAAAATTCAATCTAGAATTAGTTTCGGAGGAGATAATCTGCGAGAAGTGTAGTAATAGAGTTGATTGCAGTATTAGAGTAAGTTTGTCAGAGTATTTCAACTCTAAAAACATACTCTACGGATTTCACTCGAAGCGGTTTTTTACTGTGTATCATTATGGTTATAACGCAATATATTGATATTATATTGTTTTTATATATTAGTATTATATTAAATATATTTAATTATTATGTGATTGATTAATTAAATATATTTAATATAATACTAATATATAAAAACAATATAATATCAATATATTGCGTTATAGCCATAATGATATATCTATAATCTATAATAGACAATAAAAATATCAAATACTTACTTTGAAATTTTGTTGCTCTTTCTGGAAATAGAAACAAAGTGGACCGCCAAAAATTTAAATTAAGAAATAACAAAAAAGATAGACTAGACATCTTGTATTACGATTTAAAATTTTATTAAAATACAGTATAAATACAAAAATAATATTAATGAAAAATTAATTCTAATAAATATTTTCTATTCAATATCTGATTCATCAGAAGTATAATTTTGACTCTCGAATTCGTCTGATTCATTAGATTCCTCCTCATTTGTTTCCATTTCGACAATGTCCTGGATTTTCAAAGGAGTTTGATCTCCGATAAAACCTGTTGGTTTTAACAAATCATCAAAATGCCAACCATAGTTTTCAGGATTTGACTTCGCACACTTTCTACTATTCAGGGTCCCATCACAAGCGACTGCGATGTTGGGTCCTTTATTATTACACAGTATAAGCGTAATATATCAATCAACGACAGTATACTCACCTCGGATCTCTCTGTCACACACTTCCACGCGCGTTGAAATTAAGATCTTTAAAATTCGCAAACCCCTAATAGGACCGGAATTTTCGCAGACAACCCTATATCAACGTGTTCGCAATTAAACAGCGCTTATGATGATATAAATTTTTCTAAATTATCCAATCCAGTGAAAGTAACTGGCATCGATATACCTGTGTTTACCTGACAACCCAGTAGTTCGCCCAGGTAAATAGTAGACAACCCAACGGCTGCACATTCTATACGTTTTATACTTTCAGTCAGGACACAATTTTTTTATTATCCCGATGTTGCAACATCTAATTAAAAATAATTTTTCGAAAAATAATTGAAAATAGTCTGCCCAGGATTTTTTTAGCCAACCCATTTTTAATATGTTTTCTAATATACTAAATTCATGATAAAATATATTTCGTTCTATTATCAGCTCGGTGAAGGTCGATTTAGGTTCGGATCTTCTACTAAATCAAATCAAAATAATTTTTCACAGACTCACCTATAAAATAAAACACCTTTGGAATCGATGATGAATTCTTACACCAATCACCCAAATATCAAAGCTTCAATCTCCGTGATTTTTTCAATAGTTTGCGTATCATTTTCTCCGGAAAACGGTTAAATTATTTATAATTATTTTATTCGTGAATTTCAATATCAAATTCGTACACGTGTTAATCATTTTGACGCGTCGAGCAGCCTGCAATGGTTGTTAGTGAATGTGTTGTTTGGTACATTGAACAAAGTGAACGTATTGGTTGAGAGCTGTATTTATGGAAAATACATGAGTTTGTATCAAACAAAATAATTATATTGACATTAGTTTGCAAATCGGGCGAGGTCCTTCCCTGTCCATTATACACTGACCGGCAAAAATAGCCGACCAGCCAAAAAGTTTGCCAAATTGATCTACAGGGCGATCATCCAATTTTGGTGAAATTTCGACTAAATAGTAGATTAATGTTTCAGAATGTTAACCTGAATTTTGGTTCCCAACAAGAGCAATAGCTAGATCATTATACAGGGAAAAACAAAAGTTACAATATCACGCTCAACTTCTGATTCTTGATTCAAGCCATCAATATCTTCTTTATAAGAAGAAAGTATGGATGTTTCAAATTTGTATATCCTACATGAACTTATCAATTTACTACTTGAACAATTGATATTACTTATTTCCACCATGTTTTTGGCACTCACCAGCAGAGAGGAACCTTCATTACTGAAAACAAGTGTAAAGCAGACGAGTATTTACAGCATTCAAACGCCGTGGCATCGAGTTGATCATATTTCTCAAGCAGTCTTGGAGCTTTGCTTCAAATTCTCCTTGAAGGGCGAATAGTAGCTCTTAAAGGCGAATGAGCCTCTGGAGTTCGTCCCAAAGATGCTTTAAAAAATAAAAACATCCATTCTTTCTGAAAACATTTGTATCTTTTCTTGGGAAGAAGATACTGAAGCATTGTGATGCAAAGGGATCACACTTCAATACAAATTATGATGAAGCTGAGTTCAAGCACTAAACTATGCCACAGAGTTTTCCTGAATATGAAAATGAAATGATCAAGTCATGAGCTTTTTCCAGGAATCAAAATACATGCGCTGATATTCCGGAAAATAAATTTACGATTTGGTCAAAATTCCACCAGATTCGGACTAGAATTAAAAATGTTACAGGGCGATCAATACGTATAAAATTTTTGTTGGCCGTTTTTTTTTCTAGTGAGTGAATTACAAATTTATATTTGTAGTTATGTTATTTCTTGATGAAGTTGCTGTCATCGTGGATTTGTTGTGAAATAGTTTGATATTACTCATTAAATATTTTGATGTTATCTGCGAGGAAACGAAGGTTCATCCAGAAGTCGATAAATGATGATGAATCTCATAGCTCATTTCATCATCCGAATATGTCCATGGAACGATTATTTTCCAGTGTCAAAACAAAGAAACAAATACCTTTCGAATACACTCTATCACGTGCATCACTTATCTGATGATTTTCGGCAGCAGTTATCTAATATACAATAATTTGGCGCTTTTTCTGTATACACTTTGTAGGTACTACTATAGCTCAGATTATGATACAGGTTACTTATATACATATTTACAAATCCAATTTCACGAGTATTTATTTTTTGATCAGTCAGTCTCATTCAGGATATGTCTTGCCACATCAGCAGGCCAATGGCACATATAAGGGGCAGTTCATCTGAAATCAAAGAGCATGAATGAATAGAAGTGGAAGCACCAAATTCATTATATTCAACTATGAATTGTAATCAGAAAAATGAAATTTTACGAGACGAATTCTCTGATGAGTTTGCTCTATATTTCATAGAGCAAGTCGTCAACTAAACAAAATATTCGAATTCTCCGGAGAGTTCGCTTTATATTCCAGAGAGCGAGTCGTCAACTGAACAAACTATTCTGGAGAAATCTTGATGATTGAAATCATTTTGAACTCTGTATCTTCATCAACATTACTTTGGAAATCGAATGCTAGATTTGCAGATACTAGATACTTAGGCTGAATCTGGAAGTGAGGTTTTTTTAACATGATATATATATAAGTATCTCTCCACAATGTTGTATGGCAAAAAATTGTTCTTATAAAATATACAAGATAACGTAGGTACAGGTATTTGATAGGAAGAAGAACCCATTTTGATTGCACGAATCCAATCTTCTTGCCTTCTTTCAGAAACTTCACGAGTATTTTTATAAGTTCCTATTGCAGAGGAAATTCCAATGAGAAATAACAAAATTTCAAAATGAAAACTATATGTGAGTGAATACAGTATTTTAGATTACGACGCACTTACTTCGCCTACCTGCAAAATCGGATTCCTGAGTCTCTCGCTGCGTTTTTTGTGCATTGTACAACAGCACAATGTGATGTCATGCTTGAATTATTGAATAGCCGAAAAACAAGATTCTTATGCCAAAATAATTGTGAAAAACTATTTCAATCGTTTGTAAACAAATAAGAAAAGTGAGGTTATATTTCAATGTTTTACCTCCAGGGTCGGTCATCTGACAGATCTTGCACGCAACCCATAATACACTAGAGTCTAGGGCTAGCACCTTCTGAGGATGCGAATTAACAAATCTCGGCGAGCACGATAAAATCCTTCGAAGAGGGGAGAAGTATCGACAGCGAAGGTATCGATATTTTTTTTGTACCTACAGTGCCACTCGTAATTGAAGGTGACTAAAGTTCTTTCTTGTATTACTCATATTATTATTTGCCTACAATGAATATGGAAAATTTCATAACCGATTTTAGTCTAGTTCAGGTCTGTTTAAATTTGTGTTTCACCTTATCTTCACATCATCTATAATCTGATAATCTGATGTGTGTGATACTGAAGACTGATAATCGAACGAGAGCTTTGGTACCTATATGTACCCATGTAGGCAATGATTCCAAGAGCACAGCTTATTAATTATTGAACTGTGACCAGGTGACCAGAGTACCAACCAAGAAATATTTATGAAATTAGTTCACAGAAAAATGATGATGATATAGGAGATACAAAAAAGTAGAGTGCTGAAGTTCTTCATATGAACTTTCTTTTGGCATTCCGTTCATTCATTAGATTTTTACTCTGTTTTGTTTTGATACTGGTCAACCACTGGTTGATGTCTTTCAATTTCAATGTTAGAATTCATGAACCTACATCTCAAACTCCCTGCGTTATTACAAATCGTGTCAGTTCAACAACAATAATCCTTGTGCTTCGCGGTATTTCAACTGTCAAAATGACTTTCTTGGTATTTATGCATCAAGTTATCGATGTATAACCCGAATATTTAGAAGTAATTTTATAGTAAAACTACTGAATACCCATCTCCAGTCCTACAAAAACAGCACTACATGTTATAAACTACCTACACCACACATTGTTAAGAACAACTAGATGTAGTAACAACGTTTTGATCCAAATATATATAACATCGTCTCACATCAGCAGGAGTCTAAAGGAACAATCTATCATAATTTTCGCATACCAATAAATTTTCATCACCAAGTTACTGCCCAGATAATAGTTATTTATTATAAAAGGGAAAAAAGTAGTAGATTTTAGCTCCAGATTGTGTTGTTGACAGAAAACCGTGAGCTAAAATCTAATATTTTTCCGGTGTATAATACACTGTTTTTTTCTGTGACAGAAGAAAGGACGAATCACTATTGAGAAGATATTACATTATTTTGAAATCTGAAAATTATCGACGTGAAATTTCAAGTTTTTAACAGTAGAGACACCTGCGTTGTAGGCATCTTTATCATTCTTTTGAAGTAATCAAATATCTGATATTACTTCTGTCAGTCTAATTCTGTGATTTGATTTTCAAAAAATGGCGAATTCAGTAGTTGTTTATAGTAATATACGTAACCGCGAAGTCGAATGGAAGATAAAAGGACTTGATGCAGTTCTTTCTCGGAGACGGTATTATTGACTCATTTTCCGGAACAATGGCACAACGAAAGCCATCAACAGTGTATGTATATGTGATATATATCCAGGAAAAAAGTACTCACTTTTTTTCCCATGGGAAATTTTAATTTTACATTCAACTCTGTGCTCTAATTTTTGTTAATATATGGATATCTCTATATTCATCAATTCCCCCCATAGTAGTTATGTTGAAGGTAGATATAGTATGTTCGAACAAACAATAAATTGGCGCGCTTTTAGAGGAATTCTGTTAGTCATGAACATTCTTACGTTCGGGTACGTTCGCCTCTTCAGAAGCTGCTAGCCCTAGACTCAAGTCATAAATAGCAATATTCTTTTCACCTTGTTACATGCTCACTACTGAGATCAATTGAATTAGAAGGAGGTGAGACGGATCTGAGTTGTCCATTGAATAAATAGAACACGTTTTTATCTGTCAGGAAGGGCAAGGGAAGAAAACATTACCCAACATAATTCAACCAAAATGTAAAATGGCTGAGGAAATTGATGAAGAACAATTATTTTCGGCTATTTATTAATTCGCGCATGCCATCTGATTGTGCTGTTGAACAATGCATAAAAAATGCAGGAAGAGACGAAGGAATCCGGTTGACACATCATGATTTGAATGTAAGCACCTACTATATAGTCACTCACATATAGTTTTTATTTAGAAATTTGGTAATTTCTCTGATTTCTCATCATTCCTTCTGCGATAGGAGCTAATTGAAATTCTTAGAATAATGCAAGATTGGATTCATGCAATCAATCGGGAGGACTGGTCTGACATGCTGACGAAATATCGTGTGTTGTAGACATTTTCAATCTATTAGCAGTATTATAGCTTCTATTGCAGGAGTGGCAGGAGGAATTTTAATAATAATGACAAAATTTGATAATGAAAACTATGTGAGATTACTATTTACCTAAAGACCTAAAGAAATCATATTCCTTCGTCTCTCGCTGCATTTTTTGTGCATCGTAGAACAGCACAATGAGAAGGCATGCTTCAATTGATGAGAAGCGCAAAAAACGCGATTTGTATGCCAAAATATTGTGAACAACTATTTTAATCCTTTGATTCCTCTGTAATCAAATGAAATGATTGAGGTTGTGTTTCAATATTTGACTTCCAGGGTCGGTCATCGTGCTCGCGACGTATTATTGTAGGGGTGAGGGGTAAGAAATAGTCTCAATAAGTTCTTAAGACAACTCACATCAGACAATGATGAATGAAACATGTAATACAACTGAGCTATTGAGCTGCACTGAGAATCTTGGCTAATCTCAGTCAAAGTTGGTAAAAAGAATATTACTAATACGAAACAAACTGAATATATGACCTAACCTCACCTCTCACTCCTGCCGTCGCATCGTACACTTTCCTAACGGCCCTCGGTCCATCACCTGCGGTCTTCCTGGCGCGCCAGCACAGCGCGTAGGAAGAAGAAGAATGCGAAGAAGAAGAATGTGCTCGACGGCTGGGGGCAGTGCGCCGCCCCGCTGAGGGCGAAGGGCGGCTCCCGAATGGGCGGCGGGCCGCTCGACGACAGAGTGTACTCGCTGTCGTACTCGTAGTCGGCTAGAACAGGAAGGTGCGTTGAGTGAAGGCACATGAAAAGGGTGCTAGTAATGGACTTGTGAAAACTTCACAGAAGATAAGATTTCCACAAAATTCTTGAACACACAACATGTTTCGCTGAGACAGTAGCTTCGTCAGGTGATATACTGGTACAATGAACTAAACTAAGGTTGGCTTGCTAAACTTTTATATATCCTACTTTCCAAACTTGAAGGATTAATTATCTGTGGACAGGATCGATAAACCTCTATTTTCGGAAATTAGGCACAATATCTACATTAAATCACGGTATACCGGATTAACTTGAAAGGGTTGATAGCAAATAATAGTAGATTGTTTTATTAGGATCAAAAGTGACACTTTGTTTGACAAGCGAATTTTGCATTTGCGAGGCGGAGCGTTTAGCGAAGCCGAGCGAAAGCAAAATTTGCAAGTCGAACAAAGTCACTTTTGATCCGAATGAAACATGCTATTTTTTCTGCAACCGAAACAATTAACTCGAATAAACATGTGAAGTAACCATCAATGCCGTGCCATATGTATGCAATGCAACAAATATTGACAAATAATCTATGTGGTGAGAATATTCTACCTGCACTAACAGCAGGTTAGGTTTTTTAGGATGTTCGAATTGTAGTTTCAATATAAATACAACCACAGAGTTACATATTTGTGTATAGACCAGATGCTCTAATGGCAAATACCGCTCAAGTGCCAGGTATAGGAACAAGACGTGGAAAATGTTAGGTTAGTGAGCATATCAACAATGATAATGGTGATTATTTATCCCTCTCCATACTACACTGTGTTCGACTTGCGATAATCAAATGAAGCTAAACAATATCGTTGTTGGAGACAAAAAAACTATTGCTTGCCGTGATTATTAAAAAACAAGTTATATATCCCGAGAATAACGAATGAAATACAGATCAAGCAAGTATTTGAACCTTGAAGGCTTCCCTGATCAAAACAAAAATACTTAACTAAGATGTTTATAATTCTAATACTAAACTATGATAAGGTGTATTTATATCTCTAGCATGATGGGTTTGAAATGCCAAATCTGCTGAAATCGGAAACAAATGAGGTATGCGTCTCAACCCAAATAACCAACCATCACAATGTTGTTGATTCTTGATGACGTCCAGTAGATCCTTTTTAGTTCCTAGGAGCTAAAGTTCAACTTTAGCTCCTAGGAAATAAAATTCAACTTTAGCTCCTAGGAACTAAATATGTTGCCTAGCAACATACCTATTTTTGTGTCAGTAATAGAAACGTCAATTTAAGAGCTAATTTTGGTATCAAAATGGACGACTTTTGTGTCGGTTGCAGAAAAATATATTTACCTACTAAGAAAAAAAAAATTCAACAATGGTGAACTATTGAGGTCTAATTAATCTTCAAGTAAAATGTAAACATTTTCGAGTTTGTTGATTTCTAAAGATTCAAAATGATTGAGTTTCATACCTTTATTTTCTACATGTAGAATTTCGAAATTATCATCAAAACTATGGTTTTCTTCTAATATATGGTTGGTGTATGTTGAATTTGTTTTCTTTTTTAAAAAATTCATCTCATGTTCATGAATGCGCTGATTGAAGGTACGACCTGTCTGACCGATATATACCTTAGAACAAGATCCACAGTTGAGTTTGTATACCCCTGATTTTTCGAATTCAGAAGTTTTGTCTTCATTATTTTTGATAAACCTTCCCAACGTGTTATTCGTTCTATACGCTACTCTCAAGTCCTGTTTATGTAGAAATGGAGCTAATTTTTCAGTTGATGATCCGAAATAGGTTGAAGTTCAATAATTTTATTATTATTATCCGGAAAGTGTCAATTCTTGAATAAAGTATTGCCTATTAATTTCTCGTAGTAGTAAGTCCATGTCTGCTCAAATTGAAGTGAAATTTTTCGAAAGGTCGAACAAAAGCTCAGAGTTATCAAGGGGATATGTTTCGGACTTATTGAAGTCCATCTTAAGCCGTATTTAGAAGTTGATGAAGGTGAAACAGTATTTTCATCAAAAACTTAAGGGCCCCGTGCCCCAAGAAAGCGCACTTATCATAAACCAAATGTCAATGTCCATATGTCCCAATATCCCTTTGTTTTTTCTGTTTGCAGCCTGATATGGTTTTCATGAGCATCACTGATAAAAAGTTTACAGAAGTTACAGATCGTCAATCCGTTATTTTTATCGATCATTAAGCGTACATATCCGTACGCTAAATGCCATTTTAGTTATGTGAGTAGAAAAAGAAATTTAGTTTGACTATTCATTTTTCGAAACGAAGGGTAGTTGCAAACTGTTGAAAATGCATTATTCAACTGTATTGCTGAAAAATCGAAATGTTGATTAACATTTTCAAACTTTGAATATATGTTCTGATTTCATGCAGCTCTCAAACCAACTACGAATTAAAATTTAATCAGTACAATGAGGGGTAACAAGTCATAGGTTTGAGTTTGAAAAAAACATGTTGGGGCTGATTTCAGCTATCCCTATTCTTTATATAGGCTCGCAAAATGTAAGAAAGTTCATCAGAACGTTGACGTGTTCTGCGAATTTTCATAAAAAGCATTCAACTTCCCGCTAGCGTTAAAATCTTCACACTGTTTATGTTCGTTCTTCCATTTTCGAAATTGTTTTACATTCGTTAGATAGAATTCATTGTTATAATGAAATTATCGAAAGTACTGCTTACTGTTTTGGTAAAAAGTTTCGTGAACGCTCATGATAAAACCAGAAAGTGGGTGAGAACAGAAACGATATAATCGTAAAACACAAGGAAACCATGAATAATTCGAAAACCGGATTCTTATCACAATGTTCACAGCTCCAATCTTGTCGTCTAGTTGGCGCAACAAAAGAACAAAGCGGAACAGACTCACCTGGTATCCTGGAATCTTCCGGGTCTCCCCCGAAATCGACCCTGTTGTCGTTGCGCCCCTTTTCCAACCCTCGAGCGACCCCTATAAGAAGAAAATTTGCATAAATGGAGGCGTTCATTTTACTGCGTTGTTATGTGGATGGCTACACTATGTCTTTGAAAAATACAAAAGGTATACCATTAGATTAAGAACAATACAGAGCCATGCTCATACCATGTGCAATCCCAGGAAGTACTGGATATAATATTATATACATCGATTATGTAGTTTATTATACGTACAAATTTCAAAAAGCGAGGTTTTTGGCTTAGTTCTAGTTAAACTGTGCTCAGCCAAGACTATGTGTTTTTGACAACTTATCGCTAATAGAATGACATTAATTTATCTCTGTTATGTACAGGGTGGCCAACTAAGACTCCAGAGTTCGATTTCTCTGTTGTCTTGAAAGATACAAAAAAAATTCATGAATCAAAATTGAAGTAATAACCGAGCTTCACATTTCAAAATTTCTTTGAAATATACAGGGTGTTCCGTAAGGTCACAGCACATCAAAGCTATGTTTTTTTCATTGGAACACCCTATATTTTATTTCATTTTTGAATTCTTCCTGAAGATCTGATTTCAACGACCCATCATACTTAGGGTCTAGCAGTGAAAGTTACTGACATATAGGGTGTGCATAATCGAGATTTTCCAAGCTCAGGATTTTTTTCTGTCGAAACTGTTCATTATTCGTCAAAACGGTTTACATGTCCCTATCTCAACTTTTCACTCACTATCAATTGGTGTTCAATTGGAATTGATACAAGGTGGTTAAGAAATCTGAATTTATAATTTGTTTCAATTAAATGTCAATTCATTATTCCAAATTTTTTGGGATTTTCTCTCCTCGTTTCTATAAAATAAAAATATGAATATTATTTCAATATACGTGTAGTAAGGACAAATCAGATGATTTGCCCCAAAATGTCACTGCGTTTAAAGAATTTTCCTATCAGAGAGCCTAAAAGAAAAATTCACTAGCTTGTCAGTGACAATTTGTATTGAAAAAATTTTTGGAGAAGGGAAATAAAGGTATATAGAAAAAATATCAAATTTTCACTTATCTTTGGACGTTTCGGGACCGGTTCTGCTCCCGTTTTCAACATAAGAAGAGATTATTTCAATAGCGAAGTCGTATAATGTCTTGAAGCTTTTCAGTTTTCAATGACAAATAGTGAAACATAAATTAGAAGACGATGAAAGTCTCACTGAAAGAACTAATTTAAGTATCGAAGGAATAATGGAATTTTTGGAATTGTGTCTAAAAACAACATATTTTCAATTGGGTGATGAGTTTTATCAACAAAACTTTGGAATGGCCATGGGATCGCCATTATCTCCAATTTTGAGCAATATATTTATGGAGAATTTTGAAGACAACATCATCAAAAATTACCAAAAACAACCTAAAACATGGTGGCGATACGTAGATGATATTTTCATAATTTGGCCTCACAATGTTATGGAGCTAGATAATTTTCTGGATTATGTGAACAATGCCGAACCTACAATGAAGTTCACTTTGGAAATTGAATCTAATAATCAATTACCGTTTCTAGATGTTCTTATTGAAAAATCAAATAACATCTTTGTAACGAGTGTTTATCGTAAAAAGACCCATACTAACAGATACTTGAACTTTCAATCAAATCATCAGAAAAGTATTAAGAAAGGAATAATCAAATCACTCCATGATAGAGCCAAATCAATATCATCTGACTTTTCAATAATGAAGTCCACCACATTAAAAATGTTCTCCAACTCAATTCTTATCCAAAGAATTTTGTCGATAGGACGATTCATCGAATTGAAAACAAACAGGGTCAACCACAACAAAATCAACCATCAATAACGACAAATATAATACCATACATTCCCGGCATATCTGAAAAAATAAAACGTGTTGGTGATAAATTTCAAGTGAAAACTGTGTTCAAAACTGAAAATACAATGAGATCAATTCTAACTCAAACAAAGCCGAAAAATGAAGAACAATCATCAAAAAATTGTATTTACAGTATACCTTGTGTTTGTGGAAAGTTTTATACAGGTGAAACCAAGAGGCCTCTTTCAGTAAGGACGAAGGAACATAAGTACAATATAAAGAAAAGAAACATCGATAAATCGAAACTAGCTGAACATATCCTTACTGAAGACGGACAACACATGGCAGAGTGGAATAATATTAAAATTATTGGAAAAGAAGATAACAACCAGAAGAGAAAAATCAAGGAATCTGCTTGCATTCTTCTGAACGGAGACAATAACATTGCTTCTTGTTCAGTTGATATAGACAGAACATGGTATTCACTACTAAAATCTGAACATGAAAATGGTAAATTCAAGATCAATTAATGAAAACATCCTGTAACTCATTTGATTGCCAACGTCACCAATTGTCATTGAAAACTGAAAAGCTTCAAGACATTATACGACTTCGCTATTGAAATAATCTCTTCTTATGTTGAAAACGGGAGCAGAACCGGTCCCGAAACGTCCAAAGATAAGTGAAAATTTGATATTTTTTCTATATACCTTTATTTCCCTTCTCCAAAAATTTTTTCAATACAAATTGTCACTGACAAGCTAGTGAATTTTTCTTTTAGGCTCTCTGATAGGAAAATTCTTTAAACGCAGTGACATTTTGGGGCAAATCATCTGATTTGTCCTTACTACACGTATATTGAAATAATATTCATATTTTTATTTTATAGAAACGAGGAGAGAAAATCCCAAAAAATTTGGAATAATGAATATACCACCTCCTCGATTAACCTACAGACAGTATTTAAATGTCAATTGATCACCAATTGATAGAGAGTGAGAAGTTGAGATAGGGACATGTAAACCGTTTTGACGAATGATGAACAGTTTCGACAAAAAAAAATCCTGAACTTGGAAAATCTCGATTTTGCACACCCTATATGTCAGTAACTCTCACTGCTAAGACCCAAGAATGATACGTCGTTGAAATCAGATCTTCAGGTAGAATTAAAAAATAAATTAAATATAGGGTGTTCCAATGAAAAAAACATAGTTTTGATGTGCTGTAACCTTACGGAACACCCTGTGTATTTCAAAGAAATTTTGAAATGTGAAGCTCGGTTATCACTTTAATTTGAATGCAAAACTTTTTTTGTATGTCTCAAGACAACAGAGGTATCAAACTCTGGATTCTTAGTTGGCCACCCTGTTCATGTACGCTTTTTCTTGAATACGACTGTACTGGGTGGTTGGAAAATCGAGCTCTTCATTGGGATCTCGTAAACCGTAGGAGATACAGGGTATGTTGAATTATGGCGAAGTTGCGCAATATTATGTCTATAATATAATGTCGAATACTTCCAAAGATGTTTGGAAAAAACAGCATATTCGCGATTTCATTTCTATTTTTTTTCACTATCTGAATTGATTACAAATTACACATTCTTATCGCTTTTTTTTTGTTCTACAAGATGGTGTTATCAACTTTGTTTTTTCAAATACGGCCCTGGATTTTTTATTCGCTCTTTCTATCGGTTCCTTTCCCTGGTATCAAGAAATGGTTGAAAAGAAACTACAAAATTAGAAAATTTCGGCAACATTCCGTTTCCTCAAAAGTATTCAGAGTAGAATGAAAATTTGCGACTTTGCAACATCCTACGGAAAGCAGCTTCTGACCAATGGAATTCTCGAGAATCGCTAGGGAGCACTTGATTATTGTACAAAATTCTTATGAGTATACAGAGTGTAATTTTATTTCAAAATATCTTCTCCTTAACCACCCTGTATCTCTGAAACCAGCAATATTTTCATTTCATGAGGCATGTTGGGCTAAATCTTTACGTTTGGGTGTTTACTACCTGTAGTTTAGGGATTTCCAAATCTTAATTCAATAAATAAAATTATCAAAATTGGAACATAAATCTCTTCAAGAGCGAATGTCACAAAAACAGTTGAAGTTATAGACAATTTGAAGAAGAGTACATTTTCCATGTGAAATTGAACGAGCTTCCAGATTTTCTACTTATTTTCATCATCAATGTCTTGACATAGAAGATGTGATGTAAATTATCGAAGTAACAGAGTGCCACTAGTGCCCTCTATGAGCAATCACAAAATATGTTGCAAATTCATATTCCTCATGTCAGAAAACCTAAAAACACAAGATTTCATGTTCATGCTGTAAGAACTAACGGAGTTATTGTGTAATTTTGAAATGAAATCTCCCCCTAGAACACCCTGTATCTCCTAAACCAGCAACATTCTCATCAGGCATATTGGGCTAAATCTCATTATTTTTGTGTTTACTATCAGTAGTTTAGAGATTTCCCATTCTTAATGAATCACCCTGTATATGATTTCAATTTTCAAATATTTGTATTTATCTAAGATTCACCTTTGAATAGTAAATTTACATAGCTAGTATACGATCATTTTATCGTGCTGTTACTTGTCAGCAGATCTGCTTCCTCTGTGTTTTCACAGAAAATAGCACATGTCTGCAGCAAGGGAGATATGAAACTAACACTCGGATTCTCAGGATATCGGAGACAATGAGTTGTTGAGCTCAACTATTCGCAATGGCGTCTTAAACAGAACATTATCTGTAGTAGAAGTTCATGGTATCTCGAGTGGAGTAAATGGAAATTTAATTTTTTCTGAAATTTTTTCTCCAATATGTTTTCCTCTCTATATTTAATTAATAATATCCGAGTTGATCATGAACTTATATAGGTTCATAACATGTCCATCTACTACTAGAATCGTCTAGATTGTAATTAAACGATTGTGGAGAGAACTGAGAGTTTTATGACTACTTTATTTCCCATTCAGTTATTATAAATGGATGCTATATACGCAATGAAGAGGCAGACTCACTTGCCCGAGCAGGAGCAAACAAAGCTCTTAATGGCCCAGAACCCTTCTGTGGTATTGCGAAAGCTATACAAAAGACTAGTATCAAATCATGGATGCAAACCAAATCTCAAGAATGGTGTAACAACTTGATAGGAATGAGACAGGCTAAAGTGTTTATTAAAAACCCATCGCCAACATTC